ATATATATGCAATATTATCCTCTGGCATGTATTTTATATATTACACAATTCCTTTTTTATAACAATGCAAATGTAAAGTTATTTACTCTAAGCTCCTTTAACTATTACTGTTATTATTATTATTTATCTTTTTATTTTATTGTTATCAGTTTGTATGTGAGGAATGAATTGTAAAATAGATTTTTGAAAGATGTCAATGAAAATGTGAAACATCAAGATTTATCTTTTATTTCCCTGCGAAGAAAATCACAGGTGATCTTTTGAGCTTTTGTTTAATCTTTATACTTCAGGCTAACCTTTGCTTTATATTATTATTTACTTCAGATTATAACATTTTTGCCAGATTTTCTTAAGAGTATGGTGATTCAGACAGAATACTTTGACAGTTTTTTCTGTGTGTTTTGATTTTTAAAGAAAATTATTTGGCCACAGATCTCTTCAGAAATCTTTTTCTCATTCACCTGCAAGATGGATTTGTATACTTAGAATAAAAATTTGAAGATCCTTGTAATGTGGGATGACTGTCTGTAGATTTTTTCTTAACCTTCTCATGTTGGACGAACTCTTTATCACATCATGACACTACTGTCATCTTGTGCCAGCTGACATGCTATCACATAATGTGCAGTTGAGCCAACTCTTAAGTTACGCACTGGATAGTTGTTCATTTCTTTGTGCTCAACTGCATTCATTGAGGAGAAACCCTTCCAAAGTAGGCTTAAAAACACTTTTTAGACTTGGACCATTTATGACTGTAAAGATTTACATTTACATATTTACATTTCTAATTTTTCACCTTGAGTGATCAATTACACATGGGGGAAAAAGTGGAGGTGTTTAGCTTGGTATATCCTCTTATGAGTCATACAAAGTATTTCTTTGAACTATTTTATTTTAACTTTATTGTCAAAAGTTATACTTATGCTAATAGGTCAATTACTTGTGTTTGTAAATCACCACTTTTCCCTGATTTTATAGCTTAAGAAAAGCTCTCTGGTGCATACATTTTCTGCAGCTTTTGTTAAAACCATATCCTTCCTTTATAAGTTGGGACAAAGTCAGATTCTGTGCCATACTTTCATTGTGAGGCTGCAAATATTTGTTCATTGTTGCCAAATTTACTGGCAAGATTTAATGCTAATTTCGATGATCTTCATATTTACATCCGTAGTATTATACTGGTTATAAAAAAAAAAAAAAAAAAAAAAAAAAAAAAAAAAAAAAAAAAAAAAAAAAAAAAATTGTTTGAACAATACTGTAGTTTTTTTCTTTCTTTTTATTGTAATATGTTTCCAGTAGCATCAAATAGAGCATTTCTAAAATATCAATGAAAGTGATCTGCATTACCAAGAATTTAAGCCCTTTTTTTTTCAGATGGATTTGATAATTATTTATATATGCATAATCATTATATGTATTCTTTACTGAAGTTTTAAAATAATTTACTCAGTCCCCTTTGATTTTACATGTTACTTTGGATCTTTATAAATGTGAACTGTATTTACTGCCAAATGAAGAAAAGGTATGTATTTGACCTGTTTTCATTATATAATTGTCAAAAATACATGTATGTCTGACAATGATATAATTAAAATCAGTCATATACCTCTCTTGTAATGTGAAGATATTCATTCTCATTTATACCTTTTCTACTTGTATTTTTGATAGGTTAAAATAGGAACTGTATTGGCAAAGACTATAATTCCCGTCTTTTATTCAACTTGTCTTTTCATATCTGGTAAAGGAATCACTGAAAGTAAAACACCATTAGTTTTAGTGAATGTTACACCAGTTTTTATTTAGATAACACCATGTATATGTTGGTTGACATATTCAACATTTGTGTTCCATGTGTGTGTCATGTGTGTGATGTATAATGTATGTAAATATACATCTTATTTTAATCATTAGTATGTATAAACTTTTTAACAATACAGTAACATAACAGAACTATATATAAGCAAATACATAGGCACTTCACCATTATTTCTTTCTTAGATTATAATAAAATATGAAAGGGGGAAAAAAAGGAAAGAGAAAGATTGTAATAAGAAAAATGAAAATAAAGGTCAACAAAGTTACATGCAAAAATAAACCCCCATGAGAATACTAAACATTAACCCTCTTGTACTGACTGGATATTATAATGTCATAGTAAACTGGGCCAAATGTTGGGAGAAAAGCACTCATTCCATAACAGTCAACCCTGCTCCAAGATATGCAAGCTAAATATATATATATATTTTTTTCTTAGCCTCGAGGAGATTGAGATTAAGGTATAAAGTCTCTTTCTAACCTCATTTCCTAAAAATAGAACACAGACAAAAGTGTAGAGACTGAGGTAAATGTGTTTCCTGTACTGACAGCACACAAGCTGGGCATGTGGCTTGGCATGGCACGGAGATATCCCAGTGTGAGTGGGTTAATGCTTTATTAACCCATTTACAACAGAAGAACATCATGTCACGGTAGACTGCCTTGATATCAGAAGTAGACATAAAGTTTCTTTTATCTTCATTACCTAAACAATTGAGCATGGAGGGCATAGAGAGCAGGGTAATTTGGTTTACACACTTCTAATTTTCCCCTTAAGCCGCTGACTGTGTGCGCGCCCCAGTGTGGTTCAGCATGTTGCCTGAGGAGGAAATATAACCGGCTGACTTCAAGCTGGAAAGGGAATAATCTCTTCTACTGTGAGATATATATGACATTTTATTATTATTAACCCCTAAAGTCCAATTTACCATGCTCTTGGCAGGCTGGTTAAAAACTGATAGGATTTTCCCCCCTGCAACTTTTCCATTATGAATTATTGTCCACTAATATATCTGGTACTGTTTGTCAAGTTTCCTTCATCCACACCCAAAATATCACTCCCCATTCCCCTACTCTTGTATATCTCCACTGCCCGAACCAATTACGTCATGCTTTCCCGCCTCTACCTTCTTGTGAATGAACCACAATACATGTTGTAATTCTGGTGCTGTATGGCCTATTTCATCCAGCCAATATACCCAAGACCTTTTCCTCCTCCTACATTCCTCACTCATATACTATAGCCTTACCTCCTGGTATATTATCTTTTTACTATTTATACATCTAGATACTTATAAAAATACAGCTACATAGATATTTCATTGTTGTATGTGAAAATATTTTGTGTTTTATTTACATATTCATAGTAATCTCTCCTCATTTTCATTCATACATGAGGGGTAACTATGATAACTTATTTCAATTTTGTGCTCTATTGACACTCCTATTTCAGATAAGGCAATGAAGTATAGTATACATTTTCTGGTGCATAATATTGAGCTCTCCAAATGAAATGAATTATCATTTCTTTTTTCTGTATGGTGGGACAAACAAGCGAGAAGTTTTACACTTTTTATGGATATTTTTTTTTTTTGTACTGGGTAATAGTTATTTCTAAATGGAAGAAGTACGGAAGTAGGGTTTTTGTACATGATTTCAACAATGAGAAGGCTTGTATCTCCAAAAACAAAACATAAATCATTAGAACCAGTACTGGTGCATTTGTACTTCAGCAATGAAAACAAGTCACAATTTAGACCAAAGGTACATTTCATTCTAGGACCAAGAGGTATTGATGAAAGAAACAATCCTATTAATGACAAATTAATTAATACTGAAGGGGTGCGTAAACTAAAGCTAGATAAACTGAGGATAAACACCCATAATAAGTTCATGACACAAATAATGCAGGATACGGGAGGTAGTACTTATAATCAACGTATTTCAAGCAAATATCACACTGGGAGAAACAAACGTAATGCAATTTGTGAGAGATATTGCAAAGTAAATCTGTTACGTATTCATCCAGTTGTAAGATTATTTATCTGAAATTAACCTAATGGTCATGGGCACGTTTCCTGTTCAATGTAGTTTTTTGTGAATTTTGTTCTAAACAAATGGCGTCACCAAGAAGTCAATTAATCAGCCCTAGTGACCCTACCTGGTTTCCCCATTAATTGAATTTGTGATTTTTTTTTTTTTCCTAATGCTATTAATACATTTAGTGTTATTATTATTGACATTATGATTATTATAACATTATTAAATACTTATAACAATAGAAGATAAAAAGGAATCTTTCCAAAAATCAAATAAAAGGGTAAACAGTAGTGATGGGTAGGACTAAAGCCTGCTATTAACTAACTCCTTGATGACTAAATACTTACGGTGCCATTACTGTGTATAAACATTTAATAATCTAAATTTATAGTAGACATGGCACATAAGTATGCCATCTGTGGCCATAAAGTTAACAATATTCTGGAAAGATTATATCTAAAAAATGAAATATATTACACAACCAATAATTTCAGTCCCAATTGAATTTTATGGAACTGGTGAGAAATATATGGATCTGAGCTCTCTCCATCCTAGGAATGTATCAAAGAAAGACAATCTATAGAATATAACATATTAAAGTACCTCCACTTTCACCGAATCTCAAACCTATGGCGACCTCATGTCACAGCCAATCAGAGCTGGGCTATCACCGAAAAAGGTGTCCAAAGTGTCACTGAATATGAGTGAGAGTCTCATAGCCCAATGGACATTTTTGCCTGTCTAAATTCTCATCAACCAGAGGGCTGCTTATCCATTCCTGCAGTATGATATTCTCTATCCAAAACAGCATAGCTTGGCCTCCTATAGTTAAACCTTTTATAACTTTAATATTATGTGCAACAATTCTTGACAATACCCTCAAAATATTTTTTTTAATAAATTTTAAAATAAGCTACAGGTGCATAGTAACCCTATGAATTACTCAAATTAGATGAAGTGTGTTGCTAATGGACATTTCACTGTAAATGCTGCCTAAGTAATGCAATCTATTGAGGAACTAAGTAATGCTTTCCTAAGTAATACCAGTATATTGAGGAACTGTGTCTAGTATCTCCTTTGCAATCTTGCTATACATTGCTAAAAGTTAAATTAATTAGTGTGTTAATGCTAAACATCCCTTTTTT